TCGTCGTGGAGTAATCGAGCTTTGAAAATCGGTCCAGGGAGTGTGTTATCTTGTGTCATATACGGTAGGTATGCACGAGCTGTGGGTATGGTTCGCCTTGATTGGTGGTTGATATAGACCAGGAGGCTATAGGACGCCCAGAATTTGGGTTCGCAAAAGTTGACAGTACACGAAAAATGACCTACCGTCGCTGCTGTGCATGGCTCTCTCTGCTCGTTTTGCCGCTTGTTCGTCGCAAAGATCGGGTTGTCTACCAGAGCAAGTCAAACGACAAACAACGGCTACCGCCGGTGCTACCGACTCTGTACCAGCCATATGACACAACCCATGCGACCACCGTTAGAGTTTGCTGCGGGGATCAACTGTCGAGAGATTCAAGTTTGTAGGGGAGTCACGTGACTTTGACAAAAAAAAAAAAATGACAGCCCAATCCTGTCCAAAACTTGCTGAAAAGACAGGATGGCGTGTCCAAAACGGGTCGTCTTTTTATGTCGCTTCTTTTTTGCAACATCAGAGACCACAAGAAGGGGTTCTTTGGCCACTTGTCTCTTTTTGGAATGAAACAAAGAAAAAGACAGCCAAAAAAGGAACCGTAAAAAATGGCCCTACCCGGATTGACGTTGCTCATCTGTGAGCTCGTCTGTAAGTTCACGTAGAGAATCGCCTGCTGTTGCCGAGCATTGGCCAACTCTCCGTGACCTGCCGACGTGCCACAGCATGCTGAGACTTTTTCTTTCAGCACGCCGATCATGACCACGGTACCGATGATTAGCACCGGCACGCGGAGCCTAATTGCCCGCCAATTCACACCCGACAGACGTACTGCGATACCTAATAATAGCTGTGTGTCTACCGGTGGGTTACAGCAGTAGACTACTTTTCATAATGGCGTACAGCAGAGTACAACAGCAGCGTGGTACGAGTACGCATAAAAATATGATACCACGTCCGTTGTCACCAGAACATCGGTGACTGCTGTGCGCCACTTGACACTGCTGTACCCACAGTTCAAGATTAGACCATGCACCTGTGAGAGCCAGGCCACTAGACTACACTATAAGGGGGTCTTCCTCTGGGTCCCGCGAATATCGTGGTCCTCACCTGCGTTGTTTACCATAACGTCTACTGGGCCAAAGCCAGCTTCAGCTGCAGCAACCAGGGCCTTGACCTCGTCTCGCTTGGTAACGTCTACCTTGCACACCATCACTCTATCGCCGCCAACCTCCGCTTCGATCTTGGTCTTGACTTTCTCTAGCTCCTCAATCCTGCGCGCACCGAGCACTACGTTGGCACCGGCAGAGGCGAGTGTGCTCGCGATGGCCGCTCCGATCCCCCCTGAAGACCCGGTGACAACGGCGACCTTTCCTGACAGCGGCATCTTTGTGGCAACGGCAATGATCCCGTTCAAAATCAGGTTTCTGCTGGCTGCTGGGCAGTGTTGGTGTAGGCGTGTGAATAACTTGGTGTTGTTTTTAAGTCCGTGGGCCAAAGAGAGAGAGGTACTGCTGTAAGGGTAGGGACCCAGGAATGCATGTGCAGATGTACCTGGAGAGGGACTGTCGTATGGGCATTCCCGTGTCCAATCAAAACACAGTGGAGGAGGCAAGTCGTCCCACGTGTTCCTGCTGTGCTGGTGTATGTCAAAGGCGTCTCCCACCGTACATATATGCGCAGGGTAGTTCCTCTCGCCACAGACTGGTCCCGAGGCAAGCAAGGGGTATATCGAGGTTACTTCTATCATCGCATATGTGTTTTTATTGTGTGGGTTGTGCATTTGGGTTGTAGCAGTATGTGAAGAAGATTACGACAGGAAGGACCAATAGGAACGGTTCATAGATGTTATTGGATACACGGATGTCAGACCGGTCAAACACAGCACACACGCGTGCGCGGAATGCTACTCCCCTGCCTGTTCGCTCAAGAGTAGAATGGACAGTGTAGCAAGGAATAAGATCCACGAAGCTGTTGTGACACTGAAAAATGGAAGACACGGAGGAGGACCATCGTTGGGCTTACTATGCCGGAGGATGCGTTGCTGTGTCTGCTCTGGCGGCCGTACAGCAGTGCCTCGCACGGAACAGGCGCATTTCCGCAACCAAAACCAAGGAGCGCCGGCGCAACTCGATTATCGACCTCAGTAAATGGCCTGGAGGAGTTCTGACGGTATACTTCGGCTCTCAGACAGGAACGGCAGAATGCTTCGCCCAGATCGTCGCTGCCGAAGGTATTGTTCACGGGTTCAAGACAACTGTGGTCGACCTCGAAGACTTCAACGAAGAGCAATTCGAGGGTACCCAAAAGGCTATCTTCATCATGGCCACGTATGGTGACGGGGACCCAACTGATAATGCCAACGAGTTCTACAATTGGGTGGCAAACAAAGCAGGTGGTATGTCTAGTGAACGTCTCAGAACGCTGCACTACACCGTTTTCGGTCTCGGGAACACGCAGTACGAGCACTACAACATGGCGGGTCGGACCATGTACGAGAACCTCCACAAGCTTGGTGCCCAGCGCATGTTCGAGTACGGGGAGGGTGATGATGACAATCAGCTCGAAGAAGACTTCGAAGAATGGAAGGAGGCGATGTGGGGGGTCCTCGTTAAAAGGTTTGGTGGCATGGGCGGCGTAGATGGAGTAGACAAAGCTGTGGACCTACCGTTCTCCGTCAAGATGCTTACCAAACATGAAGCAGCTGCCATTGCCTCGACAGAGGAGTCCAAGGCCGCGTGCTCAACAAGGTTTCATTGGCACGCGGTTGATGCCTGTATCAGCATCAATCGCGAGCTCCGAGCTCAGACTCCCGGGGTGGGATCTACGCGGCACGTCGAGATCGACCTCCAAGGCACCAGTGTAGGCTACCACACGGCGGACAACCTTGCCGTCTTGCCCTTGAACGACGCCACCACGGCGGAAAAACTGTGCGCACAGCTTGGCTACGATCCAGACTCCTTCTTCACTCTCGAGCACGGCGACAACCACAAGCCGGTGTTTCCCACACCTTGCACCGTGCGAGACGCGTTCCTGCGATTCATGGACATCATGGCCATTCCTCGCCGCAGCTTGCTGGAGCAGCTGACGCCTTACGTGGAGGACGACGCTGAACGCGAGGTCATGCACCTCCTGAGCTCGAAGGAGGGCAAGGAGATTTACCACCGCGAGGTGGAGGAGCCTGGGTGGACGCTGGCCGACCTCATCCTGGAGAGGTTCTCCAGCCTCAGCATGACGTTGGATCACTTTTTGCATGTCGTCCCCCACCTCCACCCCCGCTACTATACGATCTCGTCGTCGTCGTCCGTATCGCCGTCAAGGGTGCACATCACCGTGGCGGTGCTGGAGCAAGACCGGAGCCAGGGTCGCCTGTATCGCGGCATCTGCTCGAGTTTCCTCAGCAGCCTGGAACCTCACGGCGGAGCTACGGCGGAGGGAGCCACCGTAGACGGCAGTGGGTCGAAGTGCCGCGTGTTCGTGCGAGAATCGACGTTCCGGCTGCCGGCGGACTCGTCTATCCCGATCATAATGATTGGGCCGGGGACAGGGGTCGCCCCGATGCGCGCGCTGCTCCAGGAGAGGGCCTGGCAGAAAGAGCAGGGGTTGAGTGTGGGGCGGAACGTGTTGTACTTCGGGTGCAGGTGCAAAGACCAAGACTACATCTACAGGGACGAGCTGGAGGCGTACCAAGCAGACGGGACACTTGATAGCCTTCGCTTGGCGTTTAGCCGTGAGGGGTCGTCTAAGGTGTACGTGCAGCACCTTCTCCGCGAGGATGCTGCTGAGATGTGGGGCTTGCTTGAAGGCGGTGCGTACGTGTATGTGTGTGGAGGTACTAAAATGGGCACCGATGTACAGAACGAGTTCAACCACATAGCTCAAAGTTGCGGGTTGATGGGGGTGGAGGAGTCGAAGGAGTATATGAAGGGCTTGCACGACGCTGGTCGATTCGTACAGGAGTTGTGGTCGTAAGCTTTGACGAGACGGAATTCCTATCATACTGAGGAGAGCATGGTACACAGGTCGATTCCCCACTCGAACGGCATACCTAAAACAACCTTTTTGCATTGTCTTCAGTAGGGAGGCCAGACGGTGCGTACGATCGAAACGGGTCTCAATTAGTGGCGAAATCATTTGAGGTTAATCGGGCCTGGGGAATGTTGTGCACCAATTCCCCCGGTGATGTTTCCCATCAGTTTTTCCTGTGATATCCCCTTTGGGCCTAGCTTTTCTTTGTTTCGAAGCGGGCGAGAGTGCGGCAGAGAGACAGAAAGGCAGCAAAAAGAGACAAGTGTACTTCTGTAGACGCAAGAGCTACTCATCTACAGGCCATGAGGGGAGCCCGCGACAGGGTGGTGGGCACAGAGTCATAGGGTTCATGGGTGATCGCGGTGCGGCCGGTAGGGCAGGTTGGCCTTGTAGACCTTGAAAAGATCAGTAGACTAACCGCCACAATAACTCTGTTTTAAGTATATTTTCATGGTCAGTGAAAAAGATCACTGAGAGGGCTCGTAGACCCATGACGGGTTTTTGTGACTTCTTGCACTTCTCTGTCCCCCCCCAATGTGAGCCCTGCCGGCTCACGCAGTTTCTGCCATTTTCCCACAAGCACGCAAGCACACCAGTACACTCGTACCTTTGAATCAGTGGCTCCCGAGCTTCGGGTGAGGCCATAGGGCCAACTTGGTGCGAGCAAAAAAAAATCAAACCTTGCGGTCGGGAAATCAAGTGAAAATGTCGGTTCTTTCGGTGTCATGCGAGCTTGGCTGCAAGCCTCTCGCCGCCAAACGATCGCTACAAGAAAAAGCACGCGGCCGGAGTCGTCTGTGAGACCATCCACACATGCTTCAGCAAGAAGGTGGCAAGAGGATACATCTAGGTGGCCTGAGTAAAATAAGTGGTGTGGTGACACAACATATGCAAAGACAACCGCACCAACGGCAGCACCAGGTTCAGCACAGTCTTGTCCGCTTGGTGACAAGGGTTGCAAAAAGCGGTGTGTTGCTCATGAGCTCGTGCGCCAAGCATCGGTATCGACGATCAAGTGAGACTTTGTATATTCTGCACCCAAGCCTTGTCGAGCCACCGATAATAGTTTGCCTTTTCGTGAAAAAAAAAGGCGAAAACTTGTCAAAAAAAGAGGCTTCCCCGCAGGAGCACAGGAAGCAAGCCAAACCCACAAATGAATATTTTCGATGTTTACTACTATGCCCACGTTTCCCTCTCACCCGGGTGCAACTGCTTTCAGTTTCCTGCTTTCCTGCAACCACCTAAGAAAGCATACGTCACTACAGACACCGCAGAGGCGGCTGTAGAAAATGCGAATACCCGCTGCGAAGTCGTCTAATGCTGCGGCTGCATGTGTCGAACCCTGGAAGAATCGGAGACGTGTACTAGTCGCTCTCCGCACTCTATGGACGGAATGAGGTGCACGAAACCCAAAACCCACACTATCACGACTGTGAGAAAATAATGAAAAAGAGTCAGTGTTCACCTGGCTTGCATATTGCACCACTGCATGCATTTATTGAACTAGGTCCTCGCCAACCATCGCAATCTACACCAAAGACTCGCCTTGCTACCCCAGGACTAGGACTACGGGGGTGAGTTGGGGCACTCGATACGTCACGAACATCGAAACACACGTTTGGCGCCGAATTCAGAAACGCGACGAAAATGACAACGAAACAGTCAAAAAGCCGTTAAGAAGCTTCGATACACACAAGAAGGGCCAGATGGGATTATCAATAGTATCGCACCGTTAACACCAGAGTACTTTGCTTCAACAGAGAATCAAGCGGCTCACCATGTCCACCATGGACACTACCACGGCAACAAATGCCCATCTCACCAAAAGCTTTGATACTCATACAGCGATTACGTCGTGCAACTTTTCGGTGTATGCCCACGCAGTTCATCAATACGGACGGAGAGTACATAACAACACTAGCTAAAAAACTCCCTACCTCTGTCGGGTACAAACTCATCACGACCACAACTCCTGTACGAATCGACCAGCGTCGTGCAAGCCCTTCATATACTCCTTCGACTCCTCCACCCCCATCAACCCGCAACTTTGAGCTATGTGGTTGAACTCGTTCTGTACATCGGTGCCCATTTTAGTACCTCCACACACATACACGTACGCACCGCCTTCAAGCAAGCCCCACATCTCAGCAGCATCCTCGCGGAGAAGGTGCTGCACGTACACCTTAGACGACCCCTCACGGCTGAACGCCAAGCGAAGGCTATCAAGTGTCCCGTCTGCTTGGTACGCCTCCAGCTCGTCCCTGTAGATGTAGTCTTGGTCTTTGCACCTGCACCCGAAGTACAACACGTTCCGCCCCACACTCAACCCCTGCTCTTTCTGCCAGGCCCTCTCCTGGAGCAGCGCGCGCATCGGGGCGACCCCTGTCCCCGGCCCAATCATTATGATCGGGATAGACGAGTCCGCCGGCAGCCGGAACGTCGATTCTCGCACGAACACGCGGCACTTCGACCCACTGCCGTCTACGGTGGCTCCCTCCGCCGTAGCTCCGCCGTGAGGTTCCAGGCTGCTGAGGAAACTCGAGCAGATGCCGCGATACAGGCGACCCTGGCTCCGGTCTTGCTCCAGCACCGCCACGGTGATGTGCACCCTTGACGGCGATACGGACGACGACGACGAGATCGTATAGTAGCGGGGGTGGAGGTGGGGGACGACATGCAAAAAGTGATCCAACGTCATGCTGAGGCTGGAGAACCTCTCCAGGATGAGGTCGGCCAGCGTCCACCCAGGCTCCTCCACCTCGCGGTGGTAAATCTCCTTGCCCTCCTTCGAGCTCAGGAGGTGCATGACCTCGCGTTCAGCGTCGTCCTCCACGTAAGGCGTCAGCTGCTCCAGCAAGCTGCGGCGAGGAATGGCCATGATGTCCATGAATCGCAGGAACGCGTCTCGCACGGTGCAAGGTGTGGGAAACACCGGCTTGTGGTTGTCGCCGTGCTCGAGAGTGAAGAAGGAGTCTGGATCGTAGCCAAGCTGTGCGCACAGTTTTTCCGCCGTGGTGGCGTCGTTCAAGGGCAAGACGGCAAGGTTGTCCGCCGTGTGGTAGCCTACACTGGTGCCTTGGAGGTCGATCTCGACGTGCCGCGTAGATCCCACCCCGGGAGCCTGAGCTCGGAGCTCGCGGTTGACAACGACGGGTGCGTCGCATCCATGCCAGTAAAACTTGGACGAGGAAGCGGCGGCAGTTTCACTAACCCCAGAATGACACGCCGCTTCAGCTGCCGTCAGCATCTTGACGGAGAACGGTAGGTCCACAGCTTTGTCTACTCCATCTACGCCGCCCTTGCCACCAAATCTCACCACCAACGCCATCCACATCTTCTCTCTCCACGCTTCGAAGTCTTCTTCGAGCTGATTGTCATCATCACCCTCCCCGTACTCGAACATACGCTGTGCCCCAAGCTTCTCCATTCCCTCGTTTGTGCTCTTGCCCACCATGTTGTAGTGCTCGTACTGCGTATTGCCCAGACCAAAGACGGTGAACTCGACAGTAGCAAGATAATCCCTCTCAAGTTCACCACTCTCGTTTTTCAACCACGTGGTGAAGTCGCTGGCGTTGTCGGTGGGTTCGCCGTCGCCGTACGTGGCCATCAGAAAGATAGCCTTGCCCGTCTCCAAGAGTTCCGAAGCACTAAATTCTTCCAAGTCAACCACGTCAATGTGGAAGCCATGCCGCCGGCCCTCCGCAGCGATTATCTGCGCGAAACTTTCGGCCGTTCCTGTCTGCGAGCCAAAGTAGACTTTGATGGTATCGTTAGGTGCAGCATCCTCTTCTTCCTCGATGTCCGCTTCGTCAGGTTTTCGCTTCGTTCGAAGAAAAAGCAAGCCAGGCGCCAGAGCCAAGAGGCCAACAATCGGCCACAAACTAGCCCCGCTTGACGCCATCGAACGACGAATGCTTCAATGCTATTGTGAATTGACTTAGACTGGTGGGCTTCTGGACGAGCTCGTGTAGCCTTCGTGGATCTATCTGGCACACGCCTCGGACTTGTGCCTCTCGCGCCGCGCCGGCGGCGCCAAGCTATTTGCGCCGCGTTCACGGGGGTTCCAGCGTTTAGGCGTGTTTCACACCAGGGGCTGCCTAACAGTTTGAATTTTCTATATTCGAAGGCTAGCCCACACAACCGCCTTCCTGCTGGGTGTTCCTCGTCAGCAGCTGTGGGGGAGAGTCAGCAGCACGGACCATCATCAGCGTGGTAGAGGACTTGTTTACGCCGAATTTCGTGGGGGGCTCTCCTCCACCTGAGCCGATTTGATCATGTCGACCCTCGAAAAACACATGCTGAAAGAGCTGTTGCTCGTCTGCAGCGCGCTCGGAAGTGCCGAGACGTCGGAGCACGGCGGTGGCGATGGGGAACCAGCCGTTCAACAGCAGCGGTTTGTGCGCGGAGAGAACTGTTTAGAGTGGCTACAGGATCTCCAGAGGTGCGTAGATCCGCATCGATTTTCACGTTTTATGTGTTGTGGCCGTTTGCCTCCCGAGAGCAAGTAGACTGCACAGACTACCACGCCCTTTTTTGTCTACGAGGTGCAATATGAGCCGACACACAGCCCACGATGCGCGCTGGGCAACATGGGGGCGTTGTCAGTTCTCACCTGGTGACTCTCGACTAGCTGTTTCCGAATGTTTACCCAACCTCCTCGCTTGCTCCAACAAAACAGGGCGCTGCGGAGAGATGATGAAAACACAAGAGAGATCTGCATCACCCTCTCGTCATGGCGCGTGGTGCAACACAAGCTGGTTCCCCTTCTCCTGGAGTGTAGAGACGACGCCGTGCTTGTCAATACCCTCTTCAAGATCTACGTCATGCTCACGATGCCGCTGTCCAAGCAGTCGGAAGAGGCTCTGTCAAAGCCTATCAACCCCAAGGCGCAGGGTGATGTTCGGGACCAGCAGATGCGCCGGAGAAAGAACGCCATGTCCCAGCAGGTGCGCGAGCTCTACATTGAAGTTTATGACCACCTGTAGACACTGATGATATTGATTACCCTAGCCCGTTGCCGTTCTCACTAAATTTGTACTCCATCTTTGTGATGGTTGCTCCTGATCGACTGTGAAGATTGTGTTGTGCCGTTCGCGAAGGCAATGACAGCCGTTATGCACCAAATAGTTCTGGACTCACAACGCAAGACTGCATGCAAGGCTGTGGTCGAGACTTGGCTCGGCATGATACAGGCCGTTTCACCTCACGATTCGCTTGCGCCATTGCTCATTTGGCAACAAGCCACCAGATGCATACCGCAGCAACCTTTTTCTTGGGAGGAAACTTGCTCGTCTTTTCCTTCAACACAGATTCAATCGATCTTGCGAGGAGACTGCACACCAAGTGTCTCCGGGCGCAGGCGGTTCAGACTTGACCGGTGTTGCACTCTTTTCTGGAGACGAGCGGTCATGTTGTGTACGCCTGGCATCGACTTTGTACATTCCATGTGAAGTCTCTATTAATAGTATCCGAGTGATCAACAGCGCTGTTGCTCTACGTCGTGCGACGTGAGCAGTGTACTCGAAATTTCTCGTTCCGGCTGGAATGCGCTAAGTTTAGTCTACTGGCTCCCAGACTTAGTTTTGAGCACAAGACGACAGCGTTCGTTTCAATACATGTGGGGTGCCTACGTTAACGTTCGCCCACTCACGCATGCATGAACCTCTTGCGCCTTGGTGATCCCGAACAGGCCGCTCTGCACGCGTTCAAGCGTGCTTTCATCTCGAAGGACGTCCTTTCGGTCGTCGTGGGAATGCTCGAGGAACCGCTCAGCCACACTGGAGTGGCTCGTACGGACGCGGACAACTTTTCTATCGAGTTGTGCCTTACGCTGCTGAGAAACGTTCTCAACATACAAGACCCGACTCCCTGTATGGCCACATCGCTGGGTGACCACTACACCCAGATGCACGAGCAGCTCGTGGCCCTGTTCAAGGACGCTCTGCTGTTAGACATCCTGCTGCTCTTGGCACAGGACGTTCACGCGAGAGAGAACGCCAAGCTCAACCTCCTCCTCGTCGAGATTTTCCACTTCATCATCCGGGACCAGGAGCCCGGAGCAATTATCGCAGTTCACCGATTGCAGGCGCAGAGAGAGGCTTCGAAGGGATCCGCTGGTTTGCCTTCGCCAGCTCGACAGAGCGGGGGCTCGCTCATGAGCGTTCTGGCGAAGGAGAAAACTAAGAGGGGGCTTGGCGCTGGGCAGATGCACAGGTGATGTTTTCTTTCTTGGCTGGGAAGTGCCGTTGAAGCGGTGTTGCTACTCCCATGGGCTCACGTGCACATACCGATTATCTACATTTTGAACTCACTCTACGCTCACTCCGCGGGAGGTGCCGAACGAGTGGGAAGCGTAACGTGCCGTACGTGTTCGTACCGCCGCAAAGCTAGACTGCAGCAACGGCAAAACATGTTTGACTGATACCACGCTATTGTCCACCCCGCCCTTCCTTCGTTTGGGTGTTTTCGCGCACAGCCGCCACGCTAGGTTTGGGGGGACGCTGCAAGTCGGAGGAAGCAATGGGGCAAACGCAAAGATGGTAGCCAATCCCTTCAAGGATCGCGTGGATTGTGTACCTCAGGCAACCCGCAAGAAGAAGAAAAGTGCCAAGACATTTACGGTCGACGACGTTTCAGGACACTATTCTGGTCTGTCGGACAGGTGACGCGACGGCGGTGCTAACTTGGCGCTACTGCAGTACGGTTGAGTCCATTTGGACGCCTGGGCACTCCATGTGTTGGTCCATTGTACTTTCCCTTTTTGCGGTACCAAATGTGTTCCGACCGAAATGTTTGTTGTTGTTGTTGTCGTCCTATTTATTATGGCGACACGCCTTCCATGCTTCGTGATGAGACGTGTACTACATGTTTCAGAGTATTTTTTCGTACAACTACAACCATCCAGGGTCACACAGGAGGGGGTAAACACCAGAGCGTTTTTCCTCTTTTTCTTTTCATTTTCGTGCCCCACCTTCCTACTGCGGTGCGTGCTGAATTTTATTTATATCGCGAGAAGGGTCCCGCCGTCTCTTTCCCTCGTCAACGGCGCTAACGTCGAAGTTTGGTACTCACGAGAGCTTTTTCAGCTATATTTCGCTTTCACCGGTAAATTTTGTAAATTTTTCACCCCATGGGGATTCGAACTCACGACCTTCGTGACAAGCGGTTGTCGTGGATACCAATAGAACACCGAAATGTGCACTACTTTTTCGATCTCTTGTCAAAACCATGTGTACCTCTTCCTCTCTGTCTTCGCTTTAACAGCCACAAAGCAATACTCGCCCGCGAAGCCTTGTACGAGTTCTGCTGCTCGTTCCTCAAGACGGCGTATGACCCCTTCATGCGAAGCATCAAGGTGAGCCACTCCAAACCATTTTACAGGACGATTAAGGTAGACGCCGGCACGAATACTTTGACCCTCGAGGTTGTCTCATAATCGGTACCATGAGCTTCGAGGATATCATCATCCTCTCCACTCTTGCAGCTAGTAGTACATCTTGGACCTTTCGTGTTCCTCGCTGACCTGCCAATCAATCCCGGTATTTCGTTTGGTCAGAACGAGTTTCGCATCGACTCGTCTCGGTTGCAACCCGAGGACAAAGGAATGATGTTCCGGCTCATGGCTTTCTTCATGAGCTTTCACCACCAGCTCCACCAAGCTGCGGTAAGGGATGCTGCTGAAGCGGGGCAAAAAGGTGTCGACCTACCCAAGTTTGAGCTGGGGCACGTCCTGGAGACGATGGACCTCATGTCCTTCAACTTGGTACTGCGAGAGATTGAGACGTCCATTACGGAGAAGAGCACAACGAGGCTTGCAGGGTGCGTGGCCGTGCTCAAGGAGATGATGCATATCGTGGTGAGTGTTAAATGGAGGTGATCTTGATGACCGCCTGTCGTAATCGTGTTCCGATATTTCTGCCGTTTGTGTCATGGGTGGCAACAGGGTACACGCCGTGCATCGAATGACATTCAAATGTTGTAGCGTCTCGGAAGTGCTGGAAGTGCTCCACCAGTCAACCGTCTCCACGGTGTTGCCCACTTTGTTTCCTCCTGGACCAGCCTTGCTTGGTCCACTGGCGTGTTGTATCGCTCCATGTGTTTTGTGACACTCACGCGCTTTTGTCATCTTCGCATTTGACGTTCCAGACGATGCTCAACGAGTCTTCCGAGAAGGCGCACCAGCTGGTGGCGCTGGGTCTCCTGGCCAGAATATTCTACGCGTCGGAACCCCTCGGTAGGTCTCGCGATGTTGGATAGCGTGTTGTGCGCCTGTCAGAAGTCTACGCAGCTTTCCAAGTAAGCAAACATAGAGTATAGCACTTGCTAAGTTGAGGTTAGGGTTGGGGTCTGCGTACCCCTTCCTTGAGTTTTTTTCGTATTGATTTACTTTCTTCGCGCAGGCAGTCCGCGCCTGTCCCACTTGTGCACGCCACACGATCTTGCTGCGCGATTTTGTCGCCAACGTCGTCTTGTATTGCGCCTCGGAGTCAGTGATCCTCTCTGGTCTCTTGTATTGGGGTTGTTTCAGCAATATGCATCCGCATTCTCCACACCCACCTGTCGGAAAAGACACGTCCACGGGTCCAGCGTCTACGCCTTTAACGAATGATTTTCACGGAAAGCAATAGTTCGGCCATTGCTCCGCCAGTGAGCTATTGTAGGACCATGCTATGGCCACTGGAGGGCCACCACAGCTGCAACAATCTCTGAGTACTTGTAAAGGGAGACGTTGATCGTAGGGCACAATCCGAGAATGTGCATTCGAATCCAATGAAACAATGTGGTTCTAGGGCCACCACTGGGTTTCAATGCCCACGCGATGGGGTCATGGCAGCGGGCGATGTCAGACGGCGTCACCGTTGAGCACCCGTGAGAGGCCAGCCAGCGTGTTGGGCAAGTATAATGATTTGGAGGATATCGCGAAATAACGTTGGTTCCAACTTGTGCAGAGTTATGGTGAAGATGGCCGCATCAATCCGTACGTTGACTATCGCTTGTTGCCCACGCTAACCCTCCCACAACCGTTTTCAGACAAGCTCCACGACATCGTGCGCAACTGGCAGCCTGGCAAGTACACCAAGAGCTTCCTCTGCCATGTGGTGGAGCTTGTCCACACCACGCTCAAGACTCTGGAGTGGTACAAGAAAGATAACCACACACACATCGGGGGCGTCGACGTTAGCTCGACGGATGGGCAAGACGCGAAAGGGACTGTCGACAAGGCTGTCAAGGACCGCGTCGACTCTGCGAAGAAGTTTGAATTTGGGCGCTACTTCCGGAGGCTTGCGACCAACTCGTGAGTGTGATTAGCTGTTCACTACAGGCGATTCAGACGTTCTAGTCTATACCGAACTGTGGAAGTTTCTTCGGTTCTCTGTGCTTTTCTGAATACCTGCTGAAGTGGTTCAAAAACAATTCCTTAGCTGCTTTCGTATCGATGACGTGCTTCCCTGTCGGCCACGTGCCTTCCATTTGTTGATTTCAACCTCATCCAGGCATCTCCACGCCCACCGGCCCACCTCTCCCGCCTGTTTTCCATGAATGTTTCAACAGCACTGTACGCATGTACAGCAACCTGCTGGAGCACTACGCGACCAACAGCGCCCGGACGAATCACTACATCCTGTCCTTCATGATGCGTCTGTCAAACTTCACGGTGAGCGTCAGTTGTATCTCTGATTCCGACGAAAAGTGCTCTTTCAATTTTCACCTTGGTTGTGTCGGTGGGCATGCTCAGAGCGAAGAGCAGTGGGGGGAAGGTATCGTGCTGTGTGTGCTTGTCTTGACGGCACGGGATGCCATAAGATGGTACCTTCGGGCCACAGGACAGCGTCGACAAGTCGGTGTTGCACTTTAGCGCGTGTCGACTCAAGCATAGCGATGTACTTTATTCTGGTGGGGTAGTGTGGCAAGGCTGCGACCTTCGTCACCATGCTATATTGATTGCCAACGCAAACGCTCATCTCACGTTGTTGACCAAACGATGAACCCGTCAGGGAGACGCCCCGAAGAAGCGACGAGGGGAGACCACCGAACAGGGCAGTGGTCAAGCCAGCGACAGAGTCACCTGCGAGCCTATGCTGTACAACGTCTACACTCTTGGAGTGTTCCAGAAGGTGTTGGACGATCCTTTCACCCGCAAGTCTTCCTTCAAGCACCTCGTGCACTTCATCCTGTAAGTACAAGTAGCTCCCCTGGTGTTCGGATCGCTGACCACAAGTCGCGTAATGACGGATGCCTGCCACGGGATACATACATGGATTTCATCCGTTGTTCAAATAATCCCGTTGTCGAATGTTTGCCGTTGAAACTCTTGACAACGTCTATTGGCACAGGTCTGTCGTACGGCATTTCGGCATTCTGGCGCAGAAAAATCACTTGGTCTTCGTGGAGGCTTTCTTCCAACACCCCCAACCCCATTCCTTCTGCGAGAGTTTGGTCAACGTCTACCATACCGCTAGCTCCGCCCATCCCGAGGTGAGAAAATACAGACCTGACTTTAATATCATCGAACGTCAATGTTTAACTCGTTGTCTTTGTGGTACCAAGCTTAGTCAGGCTGATTCGTCACGTTCCTTTTGTTCACCCCAAAGTGGGGCTTCGTGGAAATGCTCGAAAATCGTCGAGGATGTCTTCGTCCGGCTAAGCCTTTGCAAAAGTCACATGCCCAAAACTTCGGACTCAGCAACATGGTAGAATTCGACTGCTGATGCGTACGTTTAGGAAATAAACCGTCGAAACATAAATGGTGTATTTTTGCCTAGGATTTCGGTTGGTTGGTGGGTAGGTCAAATCCGATGTCACAGCTGGGAATCATGTCAAAAAGTGACCGAAGCTGCCTGTCGCCAAGAACAGCGGCCTACTCTGTGGGCCGCGTTGTCACTCTTTGAGTAAAAGAGACCTACAAACGTGAAGAAAGCGTTTGTTCTAGAACCTGGAGAAACCTGTACGATTTTCCCCTTCTCCAAGAAAATGTGAATAGGGGTGCGGTATGAACGTCGTTTGGATCTGCATACCAATTAGTTCCCGAACAAACTTGTGTTTTTCCCAGTATAACATGGGTTTTAATATAATGGCTTCCAAGACTTGGGAGGACACGGCCTGAAACAGGTATCAGCTTGTTCTGAAAAGAGCCTGTTGGGGTGTCAACCGTAGTAGTTCGCTTGCCCCAGACCTATGTGAGTGATTCCGTCCTCGATTGAAGCTTTTTCGCTACCATTTCCAACCCGTTTCCGGCGTGTGGCTCATGCGATCGCGGTAGGACCAACAATTGAGGAAGAAACGGACCACAACTAAATCGGGGGATATGGACGAAGAGAGCGGAAGCGAGGGCGAGGACTATCAACCCGTCACAGGCCAAGCGGCAGAGGGAGAAGTTGGGGGGGGCGACGACGATCTGCCTGGAGTCGCCGAGGACGAGGAGGAATGGGACGAGAATGCCCCGGACGTGGCCAACGAAGAGGCGGAGGCGGATGGAGATGGCGAAGGAGCGGTTTCCGGCAGGGAGAGGGGGAAGAGAGACAAAGCAGGTCGGCGCCGTCGGGGGGACAAGAAAGACGCGAAAAAGGTTGCAGCTGGGACTGCCAAGAAGCGGGCACCGCGCTGGTCGAAAAAGGTAACGCTCTAGTCGTATGTGTGCATCATACGGTTGCCATGAAGGTGCGGAGACTTAAAATAATGGGCATGGGTCTTAGCTCTGCGGCCTCGAAGTATTTCTCAGTATTGCGTAACGTCGGTGATTCCTCTTGAATCTGCAAGACCACTGATTGCATTTCCGTACCATTTGACGGCTGCCGACATAACCACCAGGAGGACGCCTTCCTGCGCGAGCAGTACCCTCTGTACGCCGGCTCCACCAGCGCGTTCGCGGTGCTCAGTGCGGCTGACGACATGGAGGTGAAGCAACGTACAGAAGAGCAAATAAAGGCTAGGGTGAAAAAGCTCGGTTTGTCGGCGGCAAGCGCAGCTTCACCAGGAGAAAGCGGCGGCGAGAATGCGGACGAGCCTCTCGAGACACCAGGCACCGAGAACCGGGCGTCGAGTGGCGAGGAGGAGAACGCGATGGACGATGTTGGGGCGGACAAGCCGATGCACATTCGAAGACTCGAGCGCAAGAACAAGACGGAAAGCGACGACGGTTCGGAGGGTCTCTTCAGCTCTACGGAGGTGTGTAAGCATGTTTTACCCTTGTTTGTTCGACTCGCGCTTTCTCCAGTTCATGTAGTCTAGTGCTTTCATCATTTTCTGTGTTTGGTTCTTGTCCTCTGCATGTTCCGTCGAGAATCGAAAATGTCTCTGATTGGACAACGTGGCCTTGTCGCGCGGCGGGGTGTTTGATATGGAGGATTGTGTTGCGAAACGTAATCGGCATGGACATATCAAAATATTACTCTCAACATATCGATTTCGAAAATCGAACGTGCGAACGGGAACATAAAGTTGCTTGCCTGCTCGCCCGACTCTCTAAAATGGAAGATGCCTTCATTTCGCTACTCATCTAACCACCTCCAGACCCCTTTGTGATACAGGCATTTGCCTTGGCATGATGCCGGCATCCAGCAGAGCACAGCATACTCTTCGCTGAGTTCGCGGGGTATCGGCGCGAGACTTAAGATTTTCCAACCCGCCTGATAATCGCCGACATCGCGGACAATCGCTCGCCTATGCCCTGTGACTCTCATGGTCATGGTGTGAATCATCGCAATGGACACTTTCGGGTCTTCGTTGTGTCTTCCAGATGCGTCATCAGGGGTGTCTGGGTAGCGCCAACTCGCCATCTAAGATCGGAATCGGTTTAGATTTTATATTTGCAAAGTTTGTCTTGTTGACTTGACGCGTCCGATGAAGTTCATCGTGCTCGAAAGTTGAGGCATACAACAACTAACGTGCGTCGGTTTTCTCGTCTCCCTGCTGCTTTCTTGGCGAAAAAATTGCAGGATAACGACCAAGAACAGGCTAGCCGGAGCGCACAAGACGCGACTTCGCCGCAAGCCCTGCCCCGATCCAATAAACGGGCAATTTTGGACGACAGTAGCGATGAGGAGTAACCAACTGCGTTGTCTCCAAGACTATCAAGTTAGACATGTGTAGCTGTTGCCAAGGGGCGGTGCGGAGCAAATCAAGAGCTGGTCGCTGCCTTGAAGTCATTGTCCCATACCGTAAGTGCCCCACCCTTTCCACAAAAGGTACAGCAGAGGGTGTGTGTAAAATTCGTCAACCTGTTGTCCCACACAGAACGTGCCCCATCCTTTCCACAAATGACGGAAATGAGGGTATGTATCTGCATCACCTCCGTCAGTCAACGACCTCGTGTTGCCTGCTCAGTACAAAAAGTGTATTGCTCAGAGAGGGTGTATCCCCTTGCATCTTGGGTTGGACGTCACACGGGACGGCAGTGTGTAGCACAATGCATTGATGGTGTTTATTCCATTTTGAACATCAGGGTTGGCAAGCCTGGCTTGAACACCCATACGGCGTGTGGCGACACGTCACAATCCCGTGCGAGAGTTGCTTCTGCTTTTTAGAGCCGCAAAACGCAACCAACAAAATAACTTTCTCTCTCCTGCCTCATGAGAATCATCGCACCCCCAACCCCTCGTTACTTCAGTGCCACATATTCGCAGACCCCGACTCCCTTGTTGACAAAACTGATACCATACTTTTCCTTCGCTTAAATCGACTTGAAGAGCGAGTCAAATCACACGCGAATATGCCCGATCGACGTGACGGATACCGTGCGACATCTGCCGGGGCCGAAAAAGCCCCTTTCTATGCACGATGGGCGAGGCTTGCTCATTCTCCATGCCCGTACGGACGTTTAGCTTCCTCCACTGGGACGGTACTACTGCTGCAATGTGTGGATTCCGGGCAAGAGAGGAGGACGAAACGGGCGGGAGAAAATAAGACGTGACTCGAACAAACCGCACCTTATCGAAACATGTGCTGCGTACGCGCGAACTATAAAATGCACGTTGCTTTCTACAACGATGCGGAAGGGAACCCCCGTGGTTGAAAATGGTTCACGACACTACAACTGAAAAAGTAGGTGCAATTTCTCACACCACACACTAGCTACAGATTGGGCAAGGATGGAAGTAATGACAAAGAAGCATCACTGGTGGGGGCTCAGGGGGGACTTCATGACTAAAATTCAATTGGTTGCCTTTGAAGTTACTTCCTTCGACCACCCTTGGTTGCATCAGTGAGTAGACCAATCGTCACAAAAACTAACTTGGTTTGTGCATAGCACTCAACAATAGGACGAAAAGTCGAGACCAGCTGTGCTCACAAATGGTGTGGCAGGAGGGAAGTAGAAACACGCTGCCGCACTGCAAGCACCTGTCGCTAGAAGACCCGCGCGTGACAATGCCAACAGATGGTATACCGTCAAATGTTCTGCAACGCTCAAAACTCACCTGGAATTTGCCGAGGATGTCTTCATCGCGGAACAAGCTAAGCTCCTCATCTCCAAGTGTCAAGGTCGTCCCGCCGTACTCCGGCAGAAGCACAGTTTCCCCAACCTTGACATTCACTTCAATCTTGGTTCCAGACCCGGTCACACGACCTGGCCCAACCGCAACAACCTCGCCCTCATTTGTCTTGCCAAGCTTACTGTCGGGAAGATAGACTCCACCGGCTGTCTGCCATGATGAAGCATGCACCCAGAGAAAAGTGGTCGGGAGGGATGTCGGGATGCAACAGACAAGCAATGTGCGGCAGCGGAGGCAGGGATGCCTACACAGCAGGAAACACCTGCGGCGTGACGAATGTGCGGTGCGACACGTATCTACATCGACACGCGGCAGTCCACCAAAGCAACGGCAACATGGCAGATCGAGACAACACAAACTAGACTACAGGTGCAAGGTTGCCATGATAAACAACCCTAGCATCACACGGCCTTCACCTGCGTTTTTGCTACCAGCCGCCTGACCAAGACACGGTCAGCCAGAGGTGCGAACTTTCTCGCAAGAGAGGCCTGAAATGGAGCCGGACAGCGAGGGATATCGGAGGGCTGTCAGGCACAGCAGTAAACCGCGGCTCGAGAATCTGAGCACAGTTAGGTGCAAATGCAACCAAGCTTGGCAACTATAGAGGGCTCTTACCATTATCGAAAATTTTCTTCTCTCTCGTAGCTGGGTGCTAGTGATCGTGGAGACTGGAGAACGGAACAGCGGTCAGTGCTGGCCGGGGGACGGGGGATGCGGGATGGGGGCGGGGTGTTAAGGGGTTCCGCAGAGGAGAATCCTGGGCAAAGGAGGGGTGGCGCGGAGGCAAAGGGCACTCTGGATCCCATTCCCACGTCACATGACGATATGGTCCATGACTTAGAATATATACACTTGGACGGTAACTCGAGATCTACGAATCGAGGAAGCTAAAGTTCTCATTCAACGTATGCGTGCATCGCGCATGCGGGGACAGATCAGGACAGGGCCTCCTGCACAAGGTCTTCATTGTACACCCATCCGACTGCTCGAGCGTGTAGTGGTCTGGCACTTGGCGTGCGCTCTAGCAACATCACAGGCGGGGCTGTGGCGAAGGAAGGAAGCCCAATATTCAACAGTGAGTCGAGAAAAAGTGAAACATGACCATGGGAGATCTGGGGGGTTTGGGTCTAATCTTCGAGCATGCCCTCCGTGTCGCCCTCACGCTCGTCTCTCAGCGTAGGGGCAGGTAAGCCCCGAGGCCTACAGCTGTCAGTGTGTAAGGCTGGCTATCTTGGATAGCAATCCGTTTGTCAACTGGTGTAGTGTACGCAGAGCAATATCCAAACTCCGCACCCACAACTGAACAACGTGACTAAGGGTGCACCAGGGACCCTGAAAGTAGCCTGTTCCTCAGAAAATATCTCTACTGCTGTTGACAGCAGCATAATAATCCTTCGTGTGGCACGTGGCGGTAAGCGCCGCGGATGGTCAAGTACCACCCCGCAACCAGCCCAAGTAGGTGGTGCGCAGGACCTCGTTAAGGGTTGTCGCGAGTCTCATACACTCTGCTCCTGAGTGCATGGAGAATTTTATTTCATTATTTGGATGTTGGTAATCACGATCGGCGATGACTGCTTGTTTGCGGTGCATGCGTCACTGTTTATTTTTTACTTCATGCTGCGGTCGTCACTACTGATTTTCTACAAAATGCTCGGTGATGTGCATAGTGTTTTGCTATCTAATGTAATAAATTGTTCGACAGATGAAGTGCATTTCCCCCCCTTCGTTTTAGCAATCAACTCTCTCTTTTGAACACGTCTGGTGTACATGAAGGTGAGGGTTCAAATCTACAAAGGTCAGCATCACATTCATCTCCTACCTCTTGTATTTCCGTGGAACTGGTGTTGCGTATTGTCACCAAAATCGTTGTGCATGGAGATCATCTAGTGGGGTACTTCGGCTTTTTTTTTGTGAACCATTGATACCCCAGGATGCAAGACCAGTCAGTCCCCCGACAAACCAGCCCATGTTTCAGGGCTCTTTTAATCTTCGGGTGCATGCCCGCTCAATTTGGCCGCCCTCTGCAGAATCGACCCCTGCCACTGCGCAGGATCTCCTCGCCTGCATGACAGCAGTGGGTACTCTCTTTTCGAGGACCGCCATCTGTTAAACCGGCATTTCTCTTCTTCATCAACATCCTTCTTTTCGGTGAGCATCTGTGGAACGATTCTTTGTGTAGCTTGTCACAGCATGTACAAGTCCAAATACATTGAGGACGTTGTCCATTCAACATGCAGTGGGATGATTCTTGCATTTGCTGGTGCGGTAAGTACAATTTCATAGAGGCCATGGCCTCCCGCTGGCCTTCCGTTCCTAGTAATAGTATCGCTCTCAGGAGGTTCTCTGTAAACTTAGGGTTCAACCGCCACGCCACAGTTGGCATCGCACCCCTTCGTTCCTGACTCCGCCCTCCCTTCGGAAGAAAAAAAAAAACTACTGAAATACTAGGTCTGACCGACCGCGGCTTAGATGTTCTTTTTTTGTTATTCTGATTTTGGGTTGCCCCGCCACTGACTTTCTTGCGAAATAAACGTTTCCTCCCCCCTGCGACTTGTGGCGGCGCTGTTGTTCTTATTGTGGTTGTCCCCGTTGTTTCTGGGTTGATACCCCAACCCTCAATCCCAAACCACTCCTGGGATACCTTTTTAAAAGGTACACATAAACTCACAGAAAGACTAGCCGTTCGAGACAACACCACAGTCGAAGGGGATGTGTTGAAGTCTTTCTCAGTGAGTGGGAAGAAACCGGCTGGATACTGGGCTTATGTTGAATCTGTTTAAGCCTATACACTGACATTTATCAGGAATGCCAGTAAGTGCTAATCACAACGGCACTGTATACGTACAAAAGTCACGAGACATGTTGTGACATTCTGCCTTCACAGGAACACGTCGCATTGTCTCTTGACAATTTGTTGGAACTGTATATGTATTTATTGCTGCTGTTGATCTACAATTATTACATACGTCATATTCCAAAAATCAAAGGCGGATCAACTCCCCTGTGATACCTTGTTGACGCTCTAGTTGTGGGTGGGATTCCACGATCGACTTGCCGGTGTTCGTACAGACGCCAATGATTAAGAGTCCCTAGAAGTCACGTGTCCGACATACTCCTGCTTCTTGTTCTATGGAGCGGCGATGTCCTTTAGTTGATTGGGTAGGATCGTATGGATGTACTGAGCTACACCATATACATGTAGTCTATACATGCAGCATTTTGAACAGCCAACAACCGCTCGCGATACACTACGCCCCCGTCAGCACATGTGCT